CATGGCAGGGAATAACCTGGAGAATCAATACAGGCAAACTACCTGGTGCATGTTAGCTACTTTAAGTTTATTCGAGGCAGCTTCCAAATCCTGGCTATCCCTTACTATTTTAGTAGCTGCTACATCCAGAATGTGGGTCTGAGATAGCAGCAAGACAGACACCATGGGAACCGTTTGGTAATGAAACTTTAACAGATGCCACCATGTACCAAGGAGTTCGTACGCTATTCAAATTTAAAGCAAGGAAAGTTTTCAGCTTTGCATGCTTTGTGGTTCTGACTTGCTTTTCAGGAACTGTTCCCAGAAAGGTTTTTTAAAAATTCTCCTAAGGAGACTTTACGCTCAACTTTTTAGGCCTGTAAGATCTACTTTGTTCTTTCAGTAGAGGAGTCGGAAACCTTTTGCCCTCCAGTTTTGGATTCCCAACTCTTATCAGCCCCAGCCAGGAATGATGGGAGGTTTGTAGTACGGTCGTACCTTGGTTGTTGAACAGAATACATTCCAGAAGTCCATTCGACTTCCAAAAACATTCAACAACCAAGGTACGGCTTCCAATTGGCTGCAGGAGCTTCCTGCACACAATTGGAGGCTGCGTCGGACGTTCGGGTTCCAAAGAACATTCGCAAACCGGAACACTCACTTCTGGGTTTGCGGCGTTCGGGAGCCAAAATGTTCGAGTCACAAGGCATTCGGGATCCAAGGTATGACTGTATAGCAACATTTGGAGGACCACATGTTCCCCAGCCCTGTTTTAGTAGAACCTCAGGGTCCACCAGTCAAAGTCAGCTGCATGATAGTGGCTGAAGAGAGCAGGCGTCCACATAGATTTTAGGTGTAGGGTGTGTATGAGCACACAGTCAGCTGAGGGATTTCTCTGTCCTCAACAGAACTGAGCTTGCAGTCCTTTCACACGAAAATATCATTCCAGGTTTCCTGCTAAGTTTTCTTTCTTTTCATCAGCTTTGTTTACAGGAGAGAGAGAGATATTTTGCGGAGGAATTGCGAGTCAGATACTTACTCTCCCGACCACTGCAAAGCACCCACAGATCTACCTGCTTTCCTAGCTCCTGTGGATCTTGATCAACCTTCCCACCCCTGATCTAGGAGTGGGAAAGTACCGTATTTTTTGCTCTATAAGATTCACTTTTTCCCTCCTAAAAAGTAAGGGGAAATGTGTGTGCGTCTAATGGAGTGAATGCAGGCTGCGCAGCTATCCCAGAAGCCAGAACAGCAAGAGGGATAGCTGCTTTCACTGTGCAGCAGATTGATCCCTCTTGCTGTTCTGGCTTCTGAGATTCAGAATATTTTTTTTCTTGTTTTCCTCTTCCAAAAACTAGGTGCGTCTTATAGAGTGGAAAATACGGTAACTGAGTTAAGGCATGTCTAAAATGCTTACAACATTTTCCCTTTAAATCACTCCCCCTTGCAGGATCTAAAGGCACAGATTGGCACCATCTGAAGGGTGTTTTATTAGATGGAGGTGACCAAAATCAGTATTACATTCCATCCTGTACAAGCACAGCTTGTTTCACGGGAATGTTTCTCACGGCATTTTTTAAATAGCATCTTGTGCCTTCACTGTGAACAGATGCACAAAGCATTTGGGCAGGCCTGTTTAAGATAAATTTATGTACTTATTTATTTATTTTTTTGAAAAGAAACCTTTATATCGAATTGTACTTGCTTTGTGTTACAAGTTGTAAAGCACATTCCATGGCAAGAAATCAAACAAGTTCTTGGAATACTAGTTTACTATGTCTCATGGTTTCTCTGATAAATAAGCTACATGAGTTTAATTCCATAAGAGAACAAAGGAGGAAAAGTGCCCCGTTCTTTATTTTTAAGAATTTGTAGTTCCAAATAGGAGCAAAATGATATCTTGACTCCTCCTTGCTCAGTGTTGACCATGCAATTTTATACATGTCTACTTGAAGGTAAGCCCCATTGAGTTCAATGAGTCTTACTCCCAGGTATATGGATATATAGGATTGCAGCCTTCATTTATCCATTTTCTTTCTACATTTTGTATAGAGTGTTTGCGTTTTCCTTCTTTCTCTTCCAGCCGAGTTCTGAATTCCGAAAAGAATGGAAGTTATATTTATTTATCTTAATAGAAAAGTATCAAATAGTTAATTTAGTCTAAGGGTGTGACTGTTCTAGTGAATGGAAATGTATTTTAATTAAACAATAAGTTTAGATAAAGTCCACAAAAGCAGACCTCAGGCACAACATAGCCCTATCCTCTGTGACCTTTGTTGAGTTTCCTTTCATTCTTCCCACTACTTCATATCAAGCTATTGTCTTGGGCATAGTGCAGAATGTTCGTTAGCTATAGGCATATAAAACTTGAGGTTTTATTCCTCCAAGAAACTTAATTCTTATTTAATACTTGGAATGCCTTTAATCCAACACAACATCTTGGCTTTTCATAAGCCATGGTTGCAAATTACGAGTTGTCCTTGGGAGCAAATGCAATTTTTGCTCTCTGCTTCAGAGTGAATTCCTTTCATGTTAATCATGGTTTAGAGTTAGATGCAAACCATGGCTGCTGCTAGTCTTGGAGCCATGTTTTCCAGTTCAGGTTTACGAGGGAACAGGGTTAGCATTTGCCGTACAGTGGTACCTCTGGTTACATACTTAATTCGGTTCCGGAGGTCCGTTCTTAACCTGAAACTGTTCTTAACCTGAAGCACCACTTTAGCTAATGGGGCCTCCCACTGCTGCCACGCCGCCGGAGCACGATTTCTGTTCTCATCCTGAAGCAAAGTTCTTAACCTGAGGTACTATTTCTGGGTTAGCGGAGTCTGTACCCTGAAGCGTATGTAACCTGAAGCGTATGTAACCCGAGGTACCACTGTACATGTAGCTCTAAACCATGGTTTGCACTAGGGATGGGAAACCTGTGTCCTTTCAGGTGTTGTTAGACTCCAGCTGCCAGCATTCTTAGGGAACTTGGGATGAAGGGCAGGGAATAAATAAATAACCCCTGACCAATGGGACTGATGGGAGTTGGAATTCAACCAGAGCCAGAGAGCCACAGGTTCCTCACCCATGGTTTACAGTCATGGGGGAAAGAAGGAGAGAATTATTATTATAACCATTAGTATTAATAATAATTTCATTTATGAATCACTTCCCTTGAGGCATCTTGAAGTGATTTACAATATAGTGACATATATAAAAATTACATATAGGTAAAGGTAAAGGTACCCCTGCCCGTACGGGCCAGTCTTGACAGACTCTGGGGTTGTGCGCCCATCTCACTCAAGAGGCCGGGAGCCAGCGCTGTCCGGAGACACTTCCGGGTCACGTGGCTAGCGTGACAAAGCTGCATCTGGCGAGCCAGCGCAGCACACGGAAACGCCGTTTACCTTCCCGCCAGTAAGCGGTCCCTATTTATCTACTTGCACCCGGAGGTGCTTTCGAACTGCTAGGTTGGCAGGCGCTGGGACTGAGCAACGGGAGCGCACCCCGCCGCGGGGATTCGAACCGCTGACCTTTCGATCGGCAAGCCCTAGGCGCTGAGGCTTTTACCCACAGCGCCACCCGCGTCCCAAAAATTACATATATAGAACAGTGAAAAACAATTGCGCGCACACACATACACATATACAGTTACAGCCGCTTTAGGTTGCGTTTTTTTTGGGTTATGGACCGCCAAAACCCGGAAGTACCAGAACAGGTTACTTCCAGGTTTTGGCAGTCGTGCATGCGCAGAAGCGCTAAATCGCTCTTTGCGCATGTGCAGAAGCACCGAATCGCAACCCGCCCGTGCGCAGGCGCGGGTTGCGAATGCTGCAGGTTGCGAACTTGCATCCCGCACGGATCACTTTCGCAACCCGAGCGTCCGCTGTATAACCATAACCCCCTAAATTTAAAACCTGTTTAAAAAAAGCAACACACCCATAAAATCAATTCAGATCCAGCACAGAGGCCAACCAGGATAAATACTTTTAGAAGGCTTGTTGAAAGAGGAACATCTTTAGTATGTGCTAAAAAGGCAGTAGAGGAGGCACTCAGGAGAAGGGGAGTGGGGAACTTGTGTGTCCAAAGTGGCTCTCTATCCGCACAGCACAGTTTCTAGGGAAAAAGTGTTTTGTTTCTTCTGGCTCATGGAAGGGCAGGACGACATGGGAGCAGTTCAGCAACATGTACTACTGTGTTGCTTGTTCCCAGTAGGCCATGGTCTATGGCAGGAGTCACCAACAAGGTGCATGTGGGTCGAATAAGGTCCATGTGGTCTTCCCCTGGCATCCATGAGGGCTCTGAATACCCCTGCCCCCATTGCCCCCTTACTCATGAGGCGGTGAGGGTGGTGACAATTTTATTCATAGAACAGACGAAGGAAGTGTGATGTCTCGTTTACTCCTTCTCTCGTTTACTCCTTCTCTTGTTTACTACTTCAGCTCTCTGCCTGCTTTGCAAGACTCAGATTAAGTCTACTGGATCCGACATTGAACCGCATTGCTTGGCAATGCAAAGTGTGTGTGTGTACACTTTCTATTGGGGATGGAGGCTAATTTGGAGAAGTGGGAGAAAAACAACAGAGTGTGATGCCCATGGCCCTTGTTCCAAAATCCCCAAGTGCCCATGAGCCTAAGAAGTTTGGTGACCCCTGGTTTGCGGCTTAACATGATGTGTGGATGCGGTCAGAGAGTTAAAATAGGACAGTGTATCTTTGCAATGCCATTACTGCGGAGAATGTTGTGTTTGCGCATGTGGGACAGAGCATGCTCCTTCAAAGCAAGTTGTCATTTCTGGCTTGTGTCAATTTTAATTGTTCTTAATTATATGTAAATTGCCTTGAGATGGTGGCTTGGAAGGTGATTAATAAATCAGCGATGGCCATGAAGATAATTCTGTCTGGGTGGGAGGAAGCTGGTTTTAACTGTTCTTGCAAGGCGATGACCGTTACTTGCATAAAGGCAAATGTTCTGCTCCACTTAACCTTAAGCAAATAAACCTCATTTCTCCATTTATGTGTGTGTGTTTCCCCCCAGCAGGGATCTGCCTTTGGCATGGGCAACCTTTCCGAAACCTGGAGGAGAAGAGCAGCCACTGGAGCAGCGATATTCAAGTCTCTCTTGCTAAGAAGATCTAAAGCGTGAGAAGGCGAAGCCCCAGCAGCCATGCCGTTTGGGTTGAAATTGCGAAGGACCAGGCGCTACAATGTCCGGAGCAAGAACTGCTTTATGACACGGATCCGCTTGTTGGACAACAACGTAATTGAGTGCACGCTCTCTGTGGAGAGCACCGGGCAGGAATGTCTGGAGGCCGTGGCTCAGAGGCTGGAATTGCGAGAGGTGAGGGTAACCCAGGAAAAGACCATCTGCCGCCTGCAATTTGGCATATTTTTAGCTCGAGCTGTTTGTCATTTGGAATCTGTTTATTAGAGTCATGTTATTCTTGGAACTGGCCCGATCTTATCACTGAGTGGAACTTTGGCAAACGTACCCTGCTTACATAAAAGTCCATTACCTACGGTTTGGATGGTGATTCAGTGATATTTCCTGTCAGGTCCTAACTCTCTTAAGTGGTCTAAAAGAGAACTTCATTCTGTTTCTCCATAAGCGAAAAGGCTCCTTTTCGTGTTAATGTTTCCACGTTGAGGCAGGGCATCAAACATGTTCAGAGTTCCATTCCCGTGAATATTTCTATACAGTGGTACCTTGGTTCTTGAACAGCTTAGTCGCTGAATAAATCGGCTCCCGAACACCACAAACCTGGAATTATGTGTTCCGGTTTGCCAATGTTTTTCGGAAGCCGAACCTCCGATGTGGCTTCCACTTGCGTGCAGGAAGCTCCTGCAGCCAATCAGAAGCCGTGCCTTGGTTTTCAAACGATTTCGGGAGTTGAACAGACTTCTGGAATGGATTAAGTTTTAGAACCAAGGTACCACTATATTTCACTGGAAAATAGTTACAAGGCACCCTTCCCACCCCCATATTTTACTGACAAAATTCACAACTCGCGAATGCAACCTGATTGTTCGGCTAGTGAAGCAATGTGCTTTTAATGCAGGATAAGTCATTCCTGCTCCTGCTGCATTCCATCGAGGCCAGTTCCTCCCCCACTCACTCTGGTCCAGTCATCACATAAATGTCTTGAGCTGTATGCAGTGGGCAGCTTTCTGTGCAAACCGGCACTTGCTTGCCAGGCACCAAGGAGAGAAATTTGCACTCGCTCATTATTTTTTTTGCTTGGAATGTTGGACGAGCTTCAGATAATCCTTTAAAATAAATAAATAAATAAATAACATTGTTTCTGGAGTCTCTTCTGAAGAATTATTCCTCTTTTCCTGACTGTAGTACATCTATTTATTTATTTTTAAATCCCACTGGAAACTGCTTCTGTTAGAAGCTGCTTTTAATTACTGTACTGTTCTACTGTATTGCCTCAAAATGATGTAAGTTTAAACCACACCCACTGCTTGGACTCATGGGACACTCATTTTAACACAACCAGTACTGGAAACCCAAATTCACGCTGATACGTGAAATAATGGTCATCACTCTGATTCCGTTGTTGCTTTTTCTTGCTTTGCGTTCAGTGTCATATTTTCACCGAGATCGCTGGTGTTTGGTTTTGAGAATGAAGCGTGCCTTTGGTTGATTTCAAGGGTCATGAAAGGATATTTAAAGCAACCGGGATGTCATAGACAGTAACATTGATACCTCTGCTCCACAGACACTTAGCTTTATTTTCTGTATGTCTGTACTGGAGTTACAAGACTGTAAAATGTCCTTCCCATACCTGGAGAAGAGGCAGTGAAAGAGGTTGACTTGCTTGTTCAGACAGTGCAGTGAATCCGCCTTGTGCCTCTACCTGCCTTGTGGCTTCCAAAGCTCATGGCAGGACCAGCAAACAGCAGGGCCGGCCCAAATATTAGGCCTCAGGCAGCAGGAGTTGTGGGGTGGGGTAGTGATGACAACCCCTACAGCCCTTCCTCCTGAGCTTCCACACCATTGCCTGCCCACTGAAGAGCAAAGCTGTGTGTGTCACAGGCTGGTCGACTAGCCTGCTGCCATCAAGTATATACTGATGGATGCTATCCTATTCCATGGCCAGTGTTGAAGTAAGAGTAATCGTCCAGGCCAGTCCACTTCTGCATGTGGAGCCCATAAAATGTCTTGGCAGACTGCAAGTCACTTGAACCAGCCTGCACTTTAATCCACACTGAAATATGACAAACGGATGCTTGCTCTGAGAACACAAAGGAACGGAACAAACCACGCGGTTATTTTGTTCCTAACCTAGGATCTGAAATTGGCTTCAAACCTTGGTTCATGAGCTCACTCTGATTAGAGCTAACCATGGTTGATGTCCGTGGTGATGCCGGGAGCTGTCTTTATATGAAGTCAGACTATTTGTTCATCTATCCCTACAGGGTCTCCAGTAGAGTTCTCCCCCATCTGTTATAGTTATAGTTCAGTTATAACATCAAGCCATTTGGGAGGGCGTTGGGAGTGAGGAAACGTGCGTTTGAGGGAGGTGGGATATAACAACAACAATAACAATTTATTATTTACCCCCATCTGGCTGGGTTTCCCCAGCCATTATGGGCGGCTTCCAACCAAATATTAAAAACAACACAGCATCAGACATTAAAAACTTCCCTAAACAGGGCCGCCTTCAGTTGTCTTTTAAAAGTGAAATAGTTGTTTATTGCCTTGACATCTGCTGGGAGTCAGGGCAGGTGCCACTACCGAGAAGGCCTGGTTCCCTGTAACCTCACTTCTCACAGCGAGAGAACCACCAGAAGGCCCTCAGCACTGGACCTCAGTGTCCGGGCTGGATAATGGGGGTGGAGACGTTCCTTCAGGTATACAGGACCGAGGCCATTTAGGGCTTTAAAAGTCAGACCAGCACTTTGAATTGCTTATTCCTGATCCCTTAGGACTAATCAAAGGATGAGGAAGTGTTATATTTATTCTGATCTCAGGACTGGCAAAAATTCAGTTGTTTCCTACTCTTTGTTTGATCATAAATCATAAGTGCAAGGTGTATGTTGGTGCCAGAATCCCAGAATGTCTTGAACCCATTCACAAGCCCAGATGCCATGTGAAATTCCACCACTAAGCTACTGTGAAAAGTCACATGAATTATTCCCCAAGCTTGGATGGCCAGAGTTGGAGAACTAACTAGTTTGCCATTTAGTATAGGATGGAAGAATGAAGCAGTAGGTTAGCAGTAGAGCATTTACCTTGCATGTGGAAGGCCTCTGGTTCAATCCTTGGCATCTTAAGGTAGGGCTGAGAATTGTCCCCCTGGGGTTTCAATGCCAGACATTGTACCAGCGGCTCTGGATAGTTCTGCAGCTCTGACTTGGTGTGAGGCAACTTTTTGGTTCCTAAAAATGAAACCTATTATTATTTGGTAACTGTTAATACACATAGAATTTATGGGAGGAAGGAAACGGGAGAGGGTTTTTGCTCTTTGTAAACTTGCCCAGCGAATAAACCTGCTTTCAAACTCTTCCTTCCCCTCTCCAGACACACTATTTTGGCCTTTGGTTTCACAGCAAGAGCCAGCAAGTGCGATGGGTGGAATTGGAGAAACCTCTGAAAAAGCAGCTGGACAAGTTTGCCAGCGAGCCTTTGCTGTTCTTTGGGGTCATGTTCTACGTGCCCAGCGTTGCCAGACTACAGCAAGAAGTCACAAGGTACCCAAAGCTCTGTTTCATTATACTTTTCGTAGTTAAGACCGTTGCCTTGCTGCAGGTGTCACCAATGGCAGACTGCTAGGTGGGGTGGAGGGGCTTACCTGACCTCCTGGCAGCTGAGTCGCTGCTGCTTACCAGGTGGGGTGAGGTGCCAAATGGGGTGATGCCAGATTGACTGCGCTTGTGCAATGGTACTATGCTGCTCACCCAGCAGCAATGGCTCACCTACCACAAGGTGATGTAAGCACTGTTGACCGCTGCTGAATGTAACATTTGCTCCCGATTTTGAGATCATGGTTTGCAGGGAGGGTATCTCAGGAAGAGTTGCTAGGTACAGTCATACCTCTTGTTATGTTTGCTTCAGGTTGAATCTTTTCAGGTTGCGTCCTGCGGCGCCCCGGAAGTAACGGAATGGGTAATAATAATAATAATTTATTGTTTATACCCCAGCCACTCTGGGCGGCTTCCAACAGAACATTAAAATTTACTTCCGGGTTTCGCCGCTTGCGCATGTGCAGACGCTCAGAATGACGTCACGCGCAGACACAGCGAATCGCGACCCGTGCAGACGCAGGTTGCATTCTGCTCATGATGCGAACGGGGCTCCGGAACGGATCCCGTTCGCATCCAGAGGTACCACTGTACTGAAAAAACTCTGGGGACCTGTCCGTAGCATAAATTTGCATAAGATTTACATATGGAGGCAATTTTAAGCTGACTTTCAGAGGGGAAGGGGGTAAGCAAAATCAGAACTCCACAGTGCCATCTGGTGCCACAGTGTTAGAACCCATAAGCAACGCACATAAGGCTCGTTTTCTTTGCCAATGTAGCTGAGCCCTGTGTCTGCATTGGATTCAAAATTGTTTTGACTGTTTTTATGCATGCGGTTGTTTTATATGTGGTTTTATTGTATTTTAAGATTGCTTTGAAGTGCTTCATACGTGGCAATTCACAGATTAAATTAAATAAATAAATGAGGCTTAAGCAACATCAGGCAGGAATGTGAGCAATTCCTCTCCCCTCTCCCCAAAAGTCGGTACTTTAATTACAGACCCGTTAAACAGCAAATTTGTGGCCATCCAGCTGTTCTCTATATTGCCAGCCGTCTGCAGGTGGAAGTACAGTACTTGTCTGGTGTAGCTGAAGCACCTGCAATTTGAATAGTTACCTGGTATAAAGCAGTCTTTATGGCCCTCTGAAGGACAGATATTTGCATGGATTGCTAATTTAAGTCGGCTCTTCAAGTGTAATGCATCCCTTGATGCTGATATAGATCCCTGTTTATAATACTTGCAGATCAAACGGCCATGTTTACACGGCTCTCTAGTTGCACAGACAAAATCCACCATATGGCCGTGTTACCTGACTTACGCTCCAATCCTATTCGTGTCGTCTCAGAAACATGCCTCGTTGAGTTCAGCAGTGGCTCTAGATTTTCTCCAGTCTAGGTCACTGTGGACGATTCCAGCAGAAATCCCGAGGTGCCATTTTAGTGTTTCTAGATAGACACAGGTTTTGTACTTCTTCCTGAAAGGACATGAGTGGCATTTGAATCTCCTCAGGCTCATTGAACTGTAATGTGCCGAGGCCTATTCACATGTGTTGAAATTAGTGTAATATGAAAGCAGGCTACAGAGCTCAAGAAGTACGGTGTTGTTTGTTTTTTACATTTTCAGTAAATTTTAAGGCCTGCTGCAGACATTCCATGTGTTTTCCGGTGTGAATTCCCCCCACCGTTTACGGGTTGCTTTAACTTTGCAGCAGTGTTACATCTGCACAGAAACAAATCAGGAGTAACGTTAAAACAGGTAGTGTGGCTGTAGCATGGCTGAGCCCCCTCACACATCCTTTCGCACATGGGTGGTTTGATCCTTAAGCCTGCTGTGGGCTTTAAGATGTCCAATGCCACAGGAACTCAGCTCCTTATACCAGGTCCATTCCCTAACCAGTGTGACATTTTCCAGAGGAAAGAAAAACACCATAAATAATTATCTGTATGAAATATTGAAGGTCACATTTACAAAAGGACCCCACATCAAAAACACAGTGGCAACTAGATGTTTATTCAGAGGACAGCAAGTTGGCTTATCATGCGGTATTTTGAAGTCCAACTGACTTGCACTAATTTCACTCATCCGTCTTTGTGGATTCCATTTTGTCTGCCTTTTCCATGCCAGGCTCATAGTTCGCGATTCTAACCAGGATCAATTTTCCCAGATACATCTTTTTTTCTCTGACTCGGCATCCAAAGCAAAGTAAGATAAAGTGAGGAACTCGTAATTGTGAGCAGTGTTCTGCCATTGTTTATCTACCAGCCTGTTCTTCTCATCCTGTGATTCTAACTTTCCTGGAAAATGATGCAGGATGAAAATCTGTTTTGTGATGGCAAGGGGAATTATAAATCAAGAAGAAAAAACAGTTGTGCCTCCATCTCTCCCTGCGCCCATTGTTTCCCAGCAAGGAAAAAGGCACTCATAGTTTCCTCAAACATTTCAGTCTGTCTTTGCAATAAACTCTTTTTGCATGTTTAAAACTGTTGGCAGTGTGAGAGCATTGTTTTTAAGTGCCTTCCCTCCATTTTGCAATTTTTAGTGCAAATATTAATCCTCTGGTCAGGTAACTATTGTTTCTAAACAGTGCACTTTTCGTTACCTTGATTAGTTTGGGTATCCTACTGTGCCAGTCTGCCTTTGAACTGGGGGCTGCTGATCAGATTATTTTGCTCCAGGATGTGGATCCCCCTCCCAATTTTCTTTCACCCCAAGTACCCACACTGGTCTCATGCACATGGCTTCAGAATTCATGCTCACAATGCACACCATAGGAAAATAGGTCATGCATGGCTGCAGGTATCTTGCAAAGGGGGCCAGATTTTGGCACACTTTTAATAGCCGTGCTTTCCTTCAACATTAATGTTGCAGACCTGTTGTGAAACCTGGAACAGAATAGATTAGGCCAGGCACCTTTTGAAAGTTATGTGACTTTTTCATCGTGGGTGTTTTTGTATGGTCATGTGTTGGATTTAATGTTCTTGGATTCTTTGTTTTCATTCCACGGGATTCTTCTAGAGGGGTCAGAACTTTCTCTTGTGGGCTTTGGAATGAGAGCGCCTTCATGGTTTTAATTTGCCGTTTATAAAAATAATTTGCTGAGGATGGCAAACCCTTCTCCCTGCTGACTCCCACCAGTGAATGGAGAGCTTGTTCCCATTGTGTTGAGTATTGAAGCCTGAACTCTTTGCGGCAAATATCTTAAGACCATATTGAGGCTTTGCTAGGCTCTCAGCCTTGAAAATTGGGGGGGGGGGGAGAGACTGTGTAGGTCAGGGAGATGAAGGCAGAATATTCATACAGTATTTGAAAACATTTGAAATGTGTATTTCCTAACTTGGAAAAGTCGGACATATCTAGCTGCAACTTACTGTCTGTAGATATTAGAGCAATTTCATGTTGGTAATTAGTACAGTGGTACCTCGGGTTACAGACGCTTCAGGTTACAGACACTTCAGGTTACAGACTCCGCTAACCCAGAAATAGTACCTCGGGTTAAGAACTTTGCTTCAGGATGAGAACAGAAATCGTGCAGCAGCCGTGCAGCAGCAGCAGGAGGCCCCATTAGCTAAAGTGGTGCTTCAGGTTAAGAACAGCTTCAGGTTAAGAACAGACCTCCAGAACAAATTAAGTTCTTAACCTGAGGTACCACTGTATTTATTTCTTTATTTTACTCGAGTCATGTCCTACTCTTTAGCAGGGCTTCCAGTGGTTACCCATTCAAGGGGCTGAATGGACTACACCTGGTCCACCCACAACAAGGGTACTGTTTGGGGGAGACTGTTGGTGGGAACAAACTGAGGTTAAGCTTGGCTACAGCTAATTTGAAACAAAGGGCTGGGCAGGTGGATTCTCCAAACTCTGGTGCAAGGTTAGGAGAGTTCGGTATTTTATTATTTAACTTAAAGTTCCTTTGTCCAGGTCCCAGCTGAACATTATACATGATGCTGCAACTGAGTCACTTTCAATTACCTATCTCCCCAATCTACATTTCCTTATTTGGCTAATGTCAGAATGAGGATTCTGGATTGTGTAGATTCAGGTTAGCTCATAACTGTGGTTTAATTGGGCCTATCCCCCACTCCTCCTAGATTTTGGGTTAAATAAATGCAGTTTCTTCACCGCTTACATTGACAGTTTTTTTGTTAATGCCACTTATGTCAGAAACCTTCCAGATCAAGTCTGTATGTGTGGCCTGAATGAGCAGCTTGCTTTGTGTGATTGCTTTACATTTGATTGAGACTGGGCTGCTCGGGGGGGGGGGGAACAACTTTAAAAATAATATACACATCTTGGCGCTTTAAACGTTAACTGTTAAAAGACATGTCTAAAGAAGAAAATATTTTAAAATAATTTTTAGAAAGGTTGAGGGTTCCTTCCCCCAACAAACACACTCAGAACGACATGGGAAACAGCAGTACTTTAGTACTGTACTTCAAACGTCTTGAGAATAAAGTGGACTCGTAAATGAATGAACTTTGAAAAGTGTAGCCAAGGGGTGTGTAAAAGGCTCGTGGCTTCTATTGGCACGTGGAGCAAGTGATATGGCATGGCTCTGCCAAATGAAACTAAAACCTTAGAGGCAAACAAAACATTTTGTGGTAAGATCAAAACGCTTGAAGCAAGATGGTTTGCTTAGAACTTCCTTCTTAAAGACCACAATTCTAAACAGTTTTACAGCTAGGGATTAAGCCCCATTGGACGCAACAGGCCTTACTTCTAAATTGCCGTGTATAGGATTGTACAATGTGCTTTTCTGCTGTGGAATAATGCATTTCTCCTGGGCGGGTCTGGGGGGTGTTCAGATTATTCTGATGGCAGCTTTATATCATTGAGGCAGCAGGCGCCCGTATAATATGCATTGACATATCTCTCGGTGACTTGTGGTTGTACACATAGGTTCGTTGACAGTTTATGGCATGAAACAATTGCCCGTTTCACCTGCACAAT